GTTGTCTCTTAATCATGTGGAATTAAGCTCATTGACTTCCAGGAATGCCCAAGAGAGCTAACGAACATAAATCACATTGACAAGAGATGGAAGTACCTTACTATATTTTTCATTCCTATTTTGTTAAATTTCACTTTCTTTACACAACAGTATACTTTCTGTTACTTAAAGAAATGAAGATGCAGCAATAACAAAGATTAGAACCTAAACCATGTCTTTGGTTTACTTAACTACTATTGACTTTTATAAATTATTTGGGCCTAAATTCACAAGTTTTGGAAAATCTCTTGAGGCTTGCCTTCCTCTTACTGTCAGCATGAATTGCATCTAAATCATTTTACATAAACAGGTGTCCACTGTCAGGTTCCACAACAAAGAGAAGATCAACTCCCTGCGGCAATCCTTTTAGTCTCTAATAGCTAGCTGCTTTGGGGAATTTCATATATCTTAAATCTCTTCAAGAATAACATGCACTCTTTGGTTTATATAACATAGCTACTTTGTCTTCTCCATATGCTCTAATAACTATGAATACTTCTTTCCTCTACTGAATTCACTTGCATATTTATCAAGTATCACTAACCGTTAGTCTTTTCATGATGGTCAGTACTGAGAAATATCATTAAAACCAAAATTTCCACACAATGATATTAGTACTTCCTTAAAGCAGTGTTAAATGTAGTAAAAGTCCAATACAGAAATAATTGAAGAATCATTTTCCTTGCCTTCAAAGAGATTTTGAACTACTTTCCAAACCTGTGAAACCACTCATTATTTATAAAGATTCATTTTTTTCATCTAAACCCTTAACATGTCCTAGATATTGCTTATTAAGAGTTTATGTCTTATGCTTCAATAGTCTCATATTATACATTATACTGACTTTAAGGAAAAAAACCACTTTTCATGAAATGTCTCTATTTTATTTTACCTTTATCTTTCTAATACTGCATTGATTCTGCAGAACCCTCACTGATAAACCCCAATCTGAACATTAAAACCACTCAGCTACTGATTTATTTAATCATTAACTAAGACATTTCCTTGAGCCCCAAATCTGTTTTAGCACTCTATTTTGGCACTGTATATTATACACATACAAAATTTATGATTCTTACACTCAACATCTTATATTCTGGGGATAGATGGAAGCAAAGAGGAATGTACAAAAGCCAAATCATCATGGACCCTTCTCTCTTCTCCAATTTCTTTATCCAGGCTCCTCTAACTTCATTTCTCAACAATGTCCTAAATTCTTCCACCAAATTGCATCCTATATTTTAGTTCCTCCAAAGTATTACAGTCATACTTTGTCCATACTAATTCTTCAACTGTTTGTATTATTTCCCTGCTCCCATGGCTCACTCTAAATCCTCATAGATATATAAACTAAACACACACACACACACACACACACATTGTTGACAAAGACCATATTAACCTCTTTGAATGGCCTGGTACAGATACAACATTTTAGGAACATTAACTCTTTCAACAAACTAATGATGATATTTTAAGTTAAAATGCTCTACAAAGATACAGTAGCAGTATAAACAGATTATTGTATTTGCAGAAAAATGCCCTAAAGGAAAGAAGGAAGGAAGAGGGGATGGGGAGTGAAGAGGAAGGAAAAAAAAGAGAGGGAAGTAGAGGAACAGAGAGAAGAGGGAAGAAAAGGGAGGGGAAAAAAGAAGAAAGGGATAATCAAGAATATTAAGTTATATTTTCTGAATTGGTTGATATACAAAAGATTCTCCAACCACACATTTGCTTTACACATGTTTTTGTACAGAATTCTTCAAATGACAGCAACTCAAATGTTTACTTACTGAATTGCTCTAACACTTCACACACTTGAGGAGGATAAGTAATATTGATAGTCTGCCTCTTTTCTCAAGTATTGTTTATAATTTTTTAAGTACAAAATGGTTGCAGGAGAAAAATCTATTGTGTAATCAAGGCTGAATATCTTTTTCCAATAATGTTAAAGGTCTTGATTTTAAATGTATGCACATCCTTAGAGACCAAATATAATGCTTATTTGTCACAACATTCACATATATGAAATGATATTCAAAACATTACAAAGTTTTATTTTTAATACTTCAATCAAGATTTTATAATTTATATAACTGCCTTATTAAATTTAATTTGCTCCTTAAATTAATAGCAATAGGGGTGTACGCCAATGTGATAAAAATAACGCATCTCCAGCTTGTGTAATAAGAGCTCCTATTGCTTTCAAATTAGGTCTGTTAATGAGAAACAAATACTTCTAAATTTTTGTGGAATAACCATATGTGTTAGGTTAAAGTAAACACTACACACAAATAACATGCCATAAAAATTCAACACTAGTGTGTGCATTATAATTTTATATGTACTCGATTCATAAAATGGCTAATTCTGATTTTCTAGCAGTCACAATGAATTTTTTTTTTAATTCTTGTAAAACAAAAAAGCATTGAATCATGTTTACTGAACTTTCACAATGATTAATAAAATCAAGAACAAAAAGAATTAAATGATAAGAATAAAGAACAAGGATAAGCAGCCTTCTTGGTTAATATGCAAGATCCAACATTAAAAATTGATTTTGAATCCCTGGCCTTAGTGACTCTGGTTTTATAGGTTGGGCTGGGCATGAAGATTAAGCCATTAATCTTTTAAGAAGAAGATGCCAAGTGTACTCCTCTTCTACTTGATATATGGAGATCAGTAATGATGCTATTCAGTGAGATATCTGGTCTCTCATACAAAAAGGTGCCACAGTAACAAACATCAGTTGAAATGAATCCAAGTTGAATGAATAAAAGCTTATGGATAAAATAATATTAATTTCCAAATTTCATACTTAATATCCCAAAACAAACCAAACATACTTCCATCTATATGGGACTTAGTATAGACCCTGGAAGAAGTTATCTTAATTCACATTCTATACAAAGGTAAAACAAGGCAGGTATTAGGGGTTTGCAGTATGCTTATTTGTCATTATTACATTATGATATTAAAAACACATTTGGTTTAATTATTGACTGTATTCATAAATTGAAAACAGCAAAGTCTCAGAAATTCCACGTCACTTAGGACATCATTTCAGTAACACCCTCCGAAAATAATTATTTGTATCATTCAAAAGAAAATTTGAATTTGAAACAGGTTAATGAGCTTTCCCAAGTCTCTAGAGCAGGAGATACAAATTTTACAATTGTCCCACATTTCTAGGTCTGACCTATAATCCTCAAACACACAAAGTATTTCCCAATTTGATAAAACTTCTTACATCCAAATTAGAGCTTATATAGAATGGAGCTGATACCACTATTTTATGATGACAAAGTCATGTGTGCATTTCAGTAAATGAATCAGATCTGATATACACAAAACTGACAAAACAGATTTTATATAATCAAATGTAATAACTAGAATAATGAGGGTTTTTTAAGATTCAATCAATAATCATATTTTAACCATAGAGGTTTCTATCAATTAAAAATACCCCCTAAAATTGATGAAATAATATGAATCATAGAAACACTATTTTTTACATTGATTACAAACACATGAACGGCATATACAGCAGCAGTACCAAAATGTTCTGAAACCTATGATGAGCTCAATAAAATACCTTTTACATTCAACCCTGAACCAAACCTTCATCCATGCACAAAGCTTTTCCCAATTTCTTCCCAAACTTTCTCCCCAAAAGGGGTTCATGTGAGCAAAATTTCTATTTCCCTTGCCTGTGGCTTTTTTCATCAACATGAATTTGAAACCTCTTAATCTAGGGGAATGAGATGGTTGCTGCACAGCCCCATCTCAATTTTTTTTCATGCACTCTCCTTTCTGAACTCCAAATATTCAATTCTTGATATCACAACTTTCAACTTCCCATGGTTTTGTGAACAATAACTCATCTTTTTTTCCCTAATGTCTCTCTGGAACTAATGGAGAACACATTCTGAGTCTAGCAGCTAAACACAATGCATATCTTCTTCCTTTATGCTTAAAAGCTATAACTTCAAAACTTCTGTAGTCTTACATCAAATGTGAACTTTTCAAGGCTTTGTATTATTACTGACATTAAAGTTTCATATCAGTATGTATTAAGTCCTCCCTTCCCCTGCCCCTCCCTCCCTCCCCCTCCCCCTCCCCCCCCTCATTTGTTTTTAATACCAAGGGTTGAACCCAGGGGGTACTTAATGACTGAGCCACATCCCCAGAACTTTTTGAGACAGGGTCCTCCCAATTTGCCTAGGGCCTTGTTAAGTTGCTGAGGCTGGCCTTGAATGTGTGATCCTCCTTCCTCATTCTCCCAAGTTGCTGAAATTACAGACATGCACCACATCTAGCTCAATCATCCTATATGCTTTCCTTATTCCAAGTATTAACAGTCCACTACTGCCTCAGATAACTGATAACATGTGAAATTTTCCTTAAGATTCAACACTGATCTATTTAGCAGCCCCTTTCATTACCATTCTAGTCTATCTTTATATTTCCTTACTAAAATATTATGGTGTGTCCCTGTGACATTTTCTTAAATAACACTGGTGCTTTCTTTAAATGCTTCCAAGTGAATTCAGCAAATCAGTTGAAGTATAAACCTAAAAAGAATCTGCCCTAAGCATAGCCGAGAATGAAATGCTAACATTAAATGTTAACATAAAAAAATCCACAATATTGCCATGCAAAAATTAAGATGATACTCTATGAAAGAATGCTGAAACTCATATATAATGAAATAAAAATGCAAGCTTTTGATATTGAATTCATTCCAATCCAAAGTAAACAACAACATAAGCTACATTCGTTTCAACTCACTCCCACTTTTATAATATCCTATTAATATACTCTACTAATTATCCATATACCTACAACATCTCCACAATTTGAATTCCCCAAAATTGTCATACTCTCAGAAAAGGCACATATGTAAATGCAGCACCATCACTTTAAGCTGTAAAAATGAGGAAAAAAGGAGGAATACTTCTTACCAGAGCCTCTTTTGGTCACAACCTTCAAACTCTGAGTGAAAGTAGCATATAAGAGAATCAAATGCGGAATCGGAGCTTTCATCTTCCAGCTCTTAAAGGCTGTTCCCTATAGCAAAGATAAAAAGAAAAACAGCATTTTTAAAGATATATGCCAATATTATAAGATTGTTTGTAAAACATTTGATCAAGCATGATTGGGGCAATGAATCACACAAAACAAAAAACATAAACAGGATCTTTATCATATATTCCCATGTGTTGTATGGTCCTTATGTTTAAATAAAAATTAATAATGCCAAAATTATGGCTCTATAGGCTTTTTTTAAATCTTATATTCACTTAAGAGCTAGAATTTTTAGAGGCCCTAATTGTATTTAAATAGTTGAAACAATTCATTCAAAAGAACTATTTATCCAGCAGTTCACTTTCAATATAAATTGCCAAAACTGACAATTTAAACTGATATTTAAAAATATCCCATGCTGCAAGAGTATGTTATTTTATTCAGTATCATTCTTTCCAATCAAGATGAAATCTTACATTGTATACCGCTAACGATTTAATTGTGATTTTGAAAGCCTCTTTTAAAAAATTCAAATAAGATACTTCCAGAGAACATTAAGACTTTTTTTTCTCTATTACAAGAAGGTAAATTGTGGATGAAAGCTACAAAAAACATATATAATTTCTTTCTATTATAAGGTTCTTAATGGGATAACAGAAAGGATGCTACCCTTATGTTGGGACTTCAAAAGGGGAACTATTTCATTTGAAATTAACAATATATATATATCATCTCCCTCAGAAAATTATCCCTCCTTTCTCTAAGCTTTTTTGAGATAAATATATACAGATTGTCATTTCTAAGTTATACAACATGGTGCTTTAATATGAATATAAATTATGAAATAATTCCCACAATCAAGTTAGTTAATGTATACATATTTGGACACAGGTACTATTTATTTGTTTGGTCACAACACTTAAAATCTACTTTTAGAAAATTTCAAGTATATAATGCAGTAGTATTAAGTATATAATGCAGTACCCCATGCTGTATATTAGATTCACAGAATGTATTCATCTCATATCTGCAAGTTTGTCCCTTTTACCAACATTCCCCCATTTTCCTCAACTTCCCAGGCTTCAGCAATCACCTTCCTCTGTATTTCTTTTCTTTTTGTATATGGCTGAAATAGAGTTGAAAGACTGAATTTCAAAAAGCAGCAAGTCAGAACATAGTTCACATATATTGTCAACCCATGATAGCACAAGTTTCTTTGCAAGACATATGAGGACCGATCACATCCAGCATTCCATTGCTTTAACTTTATTAAAAATGAGGAAGCAGAAATGGTAATTTGACACAATTTTTGCTCTCCCAGAGACTCAGTTACCTCTGAATATTTTCAATGGCTAATTCATTCACATTAATAAAGATCTGTTAAAATATATATTAATTCACAAAACAAAATCAAAATCCATTCACTGGCAGCAAAGTGTCATTGTCATTATTTTAGTGGGAAAGATCAGAGAATTTATAAAATAACATTGAAAATAAGGTATTTTAATCACAGCACACCTTTAAAATGATGATAGCCTCTGTCAGTTTTCTAACCAAGGACCTTGGATTCACATAAAGACATAAATGAAATCTGGTTTGAAGAGCTGATTCATCAGACACATCTGAGAAACTGCCACCATAAAGTGTAAGCCTGAGTCATGCATTCCTCAAACCCAAATCACATTTCCCAGCTACCTCACTAACTAGAGCTGCAGGAAATCTACAAGTTGATATCTTCAGCCTTCAGGTTAGCAGTGAGAATCAGTTCCTTTCTCAGTGTGAATTCAATCAGTGCTGCCCAAGAAGCTCCAGGATCCAACTATATACTGCAAGCCCTTCCAGCTTAACTATCTTATTACTTTAGCCTTGTTCAAAATACTATTTCCTTACTCATTTCATTTCTATAAGGCACACAGTCTAGTTTGCAATTCTATTTCTTAAAATTAAATTGGTTTAGAAAGCATCAATTTGGTAACATCAAGATCCTTAATTGAATCTCTTGAAACTCTGTGTATTAGGGAAAACAAAAAGAATTACATCGCATTTCACAGACTTGATATCTTGGTCAATCAGTAATAATCTCTACAAAAATATTTGAAGAAATTTATTGTGTCTTAAATCGAAAGATGGATTAAATATGTCTAGTCATAGATATTTAAGTTTTGATGTACTGATGGCAAAAAAATGAAAATTCTTACCCAGAAAAAACAATGACAACTGTATACAATTGCCCCACCTGATCAATAGGGAATATTTCCCAAGACCTTTGGTTTTGCCCGAAATCACAGGTAGCACCAACCCCTGTGGATATTGTGTCTTTCACCACATATTCACACATATTATAAACTTTAATTTATAAATTAGATACAGCAGAGATTAACAATAGGAATTATTTTAAATTTTATTATAATTGTAAAAATTTTACAGACCTGCAATAAAAGTTGCATGAGTTATCTCTCAATATTTTATTGTACTTCACTTACTCTTCTCATGATAAAGTGAGATAATACAATGCCTATGTGTTAAGATGAAGTGAGGTAAATTATATGAGCATTGTGATACAGCTAGGATACTACATAAGCACTGTGATAACTACCACAGTTGATTTGATAACTACCACAGTTGATTTGATAACAGAGATGGCTACAGAATTAGTAATAGGAGTATCTCATACACAGGGTGGATACACTAGAAAGGAGGATACACTCATTCCAAGTGGGACTGTTCATGACAGTGCAAGATTTTGTCTCACTACCCAAAATAATACACAGTTTATATCTCATGAATTATTTGTGGAATATTTTTAGAGCATGGTTAACAGGAAAATTGAAACTACAGAAAACGAAACTATAAAGGGAGCTACTGGATAATCATTTACTGAGGTTCTCATGTAACTGACAGTCCATACTATCAGTAAAATAATTTTAAAAGGCTTCAATTTCTGGAAGGGTGGACCTAAAATTACTTACCTGATTCTTATTAACAATAGCACTCATCACTTGGCTTCACATAAACCCCTATTAAATCATATGCAGAATAATGACATCATAGTGTTTACAAGCAGTTATGTTTGTCTCCTTTCTTCTCCCAGCTTTGCCACCTATCAGTAGTGTGCTTAGGGACAAATAATTTATTCTCTCTGTGATTAGTTTCTTTATTTGCAAAGTTTTGTAACAGTATATGTAGCATAGGGCCTAGAACAGACTGGCACATAGAAAGAAGTTAATAAATCAAAGTTGCTGTTGTTGTTGTAGTTGATTACTGTTATTATTAGTAGCAGTACTAATACTATTACATAATCAACTCACATCCACTCCCTGTGAAACTTTCTATATATACCAGTTGTAGTTTTCCATCTTTTCCCATATTATTACCTTATATGCTTATTTATATATATTTTTCTATTTTGCTAGACTTGATGACCCTGCAGGGTACATGTGCATTTTATTCAATTTTTTTATTTCCAGTAATTAATGAATGCTGTCTGAAAAAAACTGATGAATATATGAATGAACATGAATATGGCTTCTATCATATGCAGCTCGATTATTGTATTAATACTCATCATTTGATAAACTTATTGAGCATATACTAGTTACAAGATGCCATGCTATATTGTGAAGTGAGAACACAAAGACAATGCAATACAGTGTAATAAAGAAGGCTCACAGACCAATAAAGGAGACAAATGCTTACCTACTTGATTACACTGGTCCTGTTGCCATATGGTAAGTATAATGTGCTGAGGGATTAGAGGGAGCAATCTATTAATTCTGAAGCAGGTTGGATGACTGGGGAGTCATTGGAAAGGGATTTCAAAAGAAGTATTTCATCGCAACCATGAATTAGACAGTTGCTAAGGGAAAGAGAATTCTGGGTCCATGACAAAGAATGAGTGAAACATTCAGTGTGGTAGGGAGAATAATGCTCCACTACCACCAAACATGTCCACATCCAAATCCCTAGAACCTGTTACCATGTTACCTTACATACCAAAGGGACTATATATATATATATGTGATTAGTTAAGGATTTTGAGGTGGAAGACGATAATTTAGGTTTGCCTAAAATGGTTACAACTTTCCTAGAGAAGGGCAGCAGATGTATCACAGAGAAAGAAAATATAAGGATAGAAGCCAAAGTTAGAGGTACAAGTCAGAGGTACTTTGAAGATGAAATAATAGGCCATGAACTGGTGAAGGCGATCCCCCACTCACAGTCTTGACAGGGTCACAGTGAGAAAAAGTGTTGGCAAAGCCGCTCTCCCACTGTCTTGACAGGGTCACAGTGAGGATGAATGCTGGCAAAGCCACGCTGGTTGGTGGGAAACGGAAACCATGAAACCCTTTTTTATGTAATTGGGACTTTTCATTTTCATGCTTATGTTTCTGACAAGAGGCATGAGTATGTTAAATGCCAAACAAATTAAATTTCAGATGGCTAGAACATAACAGGTAGTTCATGCCTTGGAGGCTGTTCTACTACCCCTCAGCATATCAAGGACAAAGTAGAAGGCTGTTCTTCTATCTCAGTACATTGTGGATAAACCTGATAATGGACAACAATCATCCTTTGAAAGGTCATGAGAATTTTAGGCACCACATTGATTATATCAACTAGAACCCAAGCCCATATTTCCGGCCTCTTAGAAAACCTAATCAGTATGCTTATTTCACAAAGTTTACCACATGCAGTTTCATTTTTGATTAAGGAAAGTTATATTATACACTTAGGAAAGTTAAAACATATAAAGATATATTCTTCTCTTTTTATAAACCCTTTCTTACTTTACATAGGGATATATGATGAGCATAGTTAATATTGGTGGAAAGTGGATTGATTTTTAGAACTTACTTTCTATTGAGAAAGATTATAAAGATATGAGAACTAGTGCACCTTGACTGAGAAACAAAGAAACTCTGAGAAAGTAGCTCAACCAGATTTATGAGAATAAATTTAGGAATTAATTAAAACAGCTTTATAAGACACAGTTTTAGAATAATGTTAGAAATATTATTTTATTTAGATTCTTAAGTTTAGAA